TCACAAAAGGACAAATACTGCATAGTGCCACTGTTGTAGAAGGGACTGACATCAGGCTTGGGGTGAGACTGAGAAAGATTGGATAAATAATGTATACTGCATTGAAACAGATGAGGGAGAGAACTGTTTAAAAGTAATATATGATTGGGTATTATGGTTATGACAAGAGTCCAGAATGAAGGTTGCATAGTAGAGTGTACTCAAGGGGTGGGGGTGGGGATTGTATACCAATGAAAGAATTTTTCTTTTCAAAGAGAAGAGAGAACTGGGGGCGGGGGAGAGTGGTGGGCAGGGAGAAAAATGCAACAATGAATGAATGGAAATACAAAATCTCTGTAAATGTTCATTGAAATTAATTTAAAAAAGGGGGGGAAGGATGGTTCCTCTCCTGTTGTTCTTTGTGCTGAAATCCTTGCTTTCTGCGAGCTACATGGCCACACCCCACAGACACTCCGGTTACATCAGATGGTAATGGAATGAAGGATGCTACATCCCACCTGTAATCCTTCTATAACTGGGTCTTCAGATCGGGTGGAGTACAATCCAGTCCTTGACACATTGGGAAAGCTATAGAAAGGGCACTTACAGTTCAGTGAAATATATTGCTCAGCTGAAACTAATTCCTCACTTGGAAAAAGAAAAAAATCGACCATGCTCAGTTACCACCAGATAGTGTCTGCCTCTCACTGGGTTCCAGAATACAGTTCCTGTACCTTCAGGCCACTGTTGGGACTTTTCCAGACCATTCTGCTACTGTAAGCTGTGTGCTTTCTCATTAGCATAATTCAGGAAGGGACCAGATGGCAGGTTGAGCGTTGCATAAGGAATTGTTCTGTATGTGAATAAGTGCCTACTTAGCGGATAAGTGGGTCATTAGTGATCTGAAGTGACAAAATTAAAAACAACACACAATAGCCATTTGGCACAGCTATGTCAGTCCAGACTTTGCTCACTAAGAAACTAAGAGTAAAACACGTTTCAACAGTTAGCTGCAAGCAAATGCCAGAATAGACATGGAGACATGCGAGGGAGGAGGGGAGGCCTAGGTCCAGGGACTCCAGGATAGCCAACAGATTCCAGAGATGCGGAGAAGGGCCTACAGATGGAAGCAGCAGGGCCCAGTCCCTAATCTGGACAGTATCTTTCTGGAAAGCTGAAGTAGTTTATTCTTTGAGAAACAAAGCTTTGGAGAGGAGAAAGATATACAATCAGTATATCTCCCTTGGGGAGGAGAAGGTGTCAGTGAGAAACCTTCTAAACTACATAGTGTACCCTCCCTGTCTTATGGACTAGCATGCATTTCCTGGTGACCCAGGCGGCTCTGAAGAAAAGCTCTCATTGCTGGTATCTCAGATGATAGGAGGTGGGCAGGGATCTTGGGAAGTTTAATCCTAGGGAGGCTGTTTTCCCATGAAGGCAGATTGTAACTCAGCTGTGTCCCCCACTTGCTCAGAGTGGTGGCCCTGGACGGATTCTCCAGTAAGCAAGAATTGTTCACTCTGTAGTGAACAGTTCACAATTTCATCTTTGATGTGGTGAAGATCATTGAAATTGTTTACTAGAGGTTCCTAAGCGAGCACAATTAAGCCTGTTGTTACCTTTCTATAGGCAAGTACTATAACCTATTGCACAGTCCTGGGCGTGCCTAACTTAGGTGTCCTCTTTCCCCACCCTGGACATCTGCTCTTCTCTGTCCAGTCTTGTCAGGGATAACCCAGCAGAAGCAAACAGTGCTTCCACGCAATAGCACAATCAGAAAGCTTGCGTCCACCACCCATCCTTCCAACCTCAGACCCTTCTAGAGGGCTTCCCAGAAGCCATGGCAGACGCTTGTGGCAGCTCTTTTCCTAACAATAAAGAGGTGGTTTGTTTTTTGTCCCCCCCCTTAAACACACTTTTAAATAGAATTACACGCACACACACTGAATCATATACTGAATCTCATGGTCCTTTCATCCAGCCTCAATAATTGTTATGATTTTTGCCAATCTTTATTCCTCTGTCTGTTTCTTCTGCCCTCTTTTTTGTGGAACATCGTAAAGTGAGTCTTAGGCTGCCCCTAATTTCATCTGTTAATGTTTCAGTACAAATCTCTAGAGAAAGACATTTTCAAGCAGCATCAGAGCACCCTGATTGCATTTAACAAAACCCCCCATGGTCCAGAGACCCTGGAGCCAGTTGGACCCGAGCTGGCTGTAGGGAACTCTAGTCTTGTATATACTGAGGTCTTTTCAGGGAAACTAATTTTTCTTCTTTTTTACTTTTTCATCTTGACATAATCTCAAACTCACAGAAAGTTTGCAAAGAGTCTCCAAGGATCCCCATACATCATGCCTCATTCTTTGTCCTCGCAGGCCAATATTTTACCATAGTGGCTCTGTCCTCCTTTTTTTTTTTAAATTATTAGTAAATTTATAGCATGATGCTTTTCTTTTTGATCCTTCAAAAGTCTGTTTAACAATCACATACAGTTACCAAACTTGGGAAATAAAATATTGCTAACAATGGTGTTGAAATCTTTGTTGTAGTTGTTCATTGCTGTCAATTGGTGCTGACTCATGGTGACCCCATGTATAGAAGAATGAAACCTTTCCAGATCCTGTATCATCTTCATAGTCAATTTTAGGAAAGGGAGAGGGAGAAAGATTGAGATGTAACCAGACTGCCATCTATCCTAGTGGGCTTATCTTACAGCACTGTTTCAGAAAATATTATGTTATGAGCTAAGAGTTTCTACTGGCTGCTTTTCTAAAAGTAGTTTTCTAGTCTTTTAGAGACCTATTCTGTCTTAATTTGGAAGTACCACTGAAACCTGCCCACTATGGATTCAGATATCTGTGAGGGGAGACTGAGAAAGATGGGATAAGTAATGTATACTGCATTGAAACAGATGAGGGAGAGAACTGTTTAAAAGGGATATGTGATTAGGTATTATTGTTATGACAGGAGTCCAGAACGAAGGCTGCATAGTGGAGTGGATTTGTGGGGAGGGATTGTAAAACAATGAGAGAATTTTACTTTTCAAAGAGAAAAGTGAACCAGGGGGTAGGTTGGGCCGGGAGAAAAGTGCAACAGTGAATAAATGCAAATCCAAAGTCTCTGTAAACGTTCATTAAAATTAATTAAAATATATAATAAAAAAATGCATGTTAGGGCTTAAAATACCAGCTGCATGACTTTCAGCATCATAGCAATACACCAGCCACCACAATGTGGCAAACGAGGGGTGGGTTGGTACAGCCACTACTGTCTAATCAACAGACATTATTGAGGTTTCTCTAATTGTCCCAGCAATGATCGAAACAGCCCTGGATCATCTCAGCTGCCAATGCTCGTCAGTCTTCCCTTCTCTGGAGAATTCCCAGAGTCTCTTTTTCTGTTTTATAATACTGATTAAAAGAACAAGCAAATCTGTCTCGAAGAAAGTATAACTAGAATTCTTCTTAGAAAAAGGGTGGTGAACCTTCATCTCACATACTTTGGGTGAGTTGTCAGGAGGGGCCAGTCCTTGGAAAAAGAAATCATGCTGGGAAAGGTGGGGGGTCATAGAAAGAGAGTAAGACCCCCAACAAGATGAGGGCACAGTGGCTGTATCAATGGGCTCAGGCGTGTCAGAGATTACGGGCAACTGCAGGAGAGGGCACAGCTCCTGTTTGTTGTTCATAGGGTTGCTGGGAATCAAAGTTGACTCAATGGCACAAATACCAGAAAAAAAA